TATATATATAAAGCAAGGGCCACAATAGTCACCAAGGTTCATACCATAAATATTTCAGTCTAACATGACAGAAGACCACGAGAGGATTAAAAACAAACTTTAGAGTTTAATATGGTCTACTTAATAGTATACATTTCTCTTGTTACCTGTGGCATTGGCGGGCACCTTGAAAATAACATATTTCGGTTTGCCAAAGTTCATGATGGCTGTGCCCATGTTGTACGTGTTCCCTTCTTCATCGTAGTGAGGGTGTGCGGTTGCCAAGTTGATGGCGATGTGGTTTCTATAGTTAGTCTGAAATTATAATAAAAGACAATTTATCCATAGTGGCAAAAACAAAAACATATTAAGATGCAGCTGACAAAAGGAATGAATGAATGAATAGATCTGGACTCACTCTTTCTAATGTGTCAAGTGTCAGAGGGTCAATTTGGTTAATGTAGTTCACTTCTGATGATGCATAATAATCTTCACCATATCTTATGATGTTAATGAGATTATTATCTGTGAAATCCGGAATGGCGTTCATCAAGTAACTGAAAGCTCTACAAAGCAATATGAAACAATTAACTACGTCATTTTGATTGGACTCTTAATACAAAAGTAAAAAGGTTCAGAAGGAAGGATCATTTACTTGGAGAATATATTCTTGCAGGGATCTGGATAAACCATGGTTCCGAATTCAGACACAACGATCCTATTGGCAGCTATGTTCTTTTTGTACGTTTCACTCTTCAAAAATTTACTTTTGTAAAATACATCCCCTGAAAAAAATTATTTGAGTTTTATTGTTTATGGTGCATCCAATACTCTGTCAATACACTCCTAGATATAGTAAAATAGCATGTGCACTTTGCAGATTTTTCAACAGTGTTTTCAGTATTTTCAATAAATATAATTTAAAAGGTTCTTTCTCACCCAACTTACCATCTTTAAATGTGAAACTGTGGATGAGTGCCATTCCATCAAACCAGTGCTTGTATGAAGTGTTGCCAACTGAGAACAGACCAGGACCATTTCGCAAAAGTGTCCCCTGAAGCCATGGTGGTATGGAGCCTAAGAAGAAAAAAAAACCCCAGACCATTTAATGTGTGAATTCTGACATTCAGGTCATTGAGGCTTTCAGCAACTCTATGAAAAGTATATCAATTCAATGAGGCAAGATGATGCAAAATTACAATCTTTAGAAGGATAAATAATGGTCCTACACTCTGAAAAATAAAGGTGCTTCACGATGCCATAGAAGAACCTTTTTGTCTAAATGATTCCATAAAGAACCTTTAACATCTGAAGAACCTTTCTGTTTCACAAAAGGTTCTTTGGGGCGAAAAAAGGTTCTTCAGATTATAAAAAGGTAAGAAAGAGATTGTTCTTTAAAAAACCTTTGACTGAATAGTTCTTTGTGGAACCAAAAATGGTTCTTCTATGGCATCGCTTGAAGAACCTTTTGAAGCACCTTTATTTTTAAGAGTGTATCAGTTTACAATGCAGTGAGTTCTGTTGTTTGTCCAAATTGTGAAATTTGGCATACTGGGTGGGTTTCAATGTGGTGAGTCTCTCATGCCCTCAAGGGCCACTGACAATTCAACGTTTTTATGTGCATTTTACCTAATAACTTTTGAACCAAATAGCCCTGTAAGAATGCTATATCCTCTGCTCTTTTGGCCAATTGACCAATTTCCTAAACTTTTCTGCAGGCAAACTTTGCCTATGCAGAAGTGTTTGATTGAATCTTCTCACTTTTTTTCTTTAATAAGATGAAATAACCTGTACTGATGCCTTTAACAGATTATTATATTAATATTGTTTATTATTGACAGGGGCACATTTCTGGTCTGACAGGTGGGGGACCAAAACTGAGTGTTGAGTAACAGTCAGTTTTAGTAACATTTTAATATGCAATGGATTATAAAAATGAAAACAACACAATGATAACTGATCTCTGGCTCATTTGGTTCTTCAAAATAATTTAGCGGATTAGATTAAAATATCTGGATTAAGTTGTCTGAGATTACTCCATGTTAACATGTTCATTGGAAAGGACAGATTTATCGATACTCGAAATCATGATCAGCAATGCAGCGATTGGCTGGCGGCGAGACATGACATCATATTATTAAAGGGATAGTTCACCCAAAAATTTAAATTACTCCATAATTTACTCACCCTCAAGCCATCCTAGGTGTATATGACTTTCTTCTTTCAGACGAATCCAATCAGAGTTATATTTAAAAATGTCCTGGCGCTTCCAAGCCTTATAATGGCAGTTAATGGGTGTTATTTTTCGGTAGTTCAAAATACATAAAATAAAGCGCATCCATCCATAATAAAAAGTGTCCCACACGGCTCCAGTTGGTGAATAAAGGCCTCCTGTAGCAAATCAATGCGTTTTTGTAAGAAAAATATCATATTTAAAACTTTAGAAACAGTGATCTCTACCTTCCGCTAACTGTCGTGTGCGTGTTCATTCAGGCGGATGACGTAGGACGAAGTGTAAGGTCTGGTGAGAAGTGATGAATGAGGAAGCACGGCGGAGAGAGCAAAACAAAACACTGGCCACGAATTAGAAGTACAAAACGAAGATTTGTAAAGAAAAATGTTGGAGGATTTCGATATAAACAAAGAGGAGACTGGGTTTCCTTTGGTAAAGTAAGGAAACTTTGCTTCCTTTGCTCCTGTAAACAAATGTTGGTTCTCGCGAGCATATTCTCACCGAACGTTACGCTATGCCTACGTCATCCACCGGAACAGTACAACAGTTAGCTGAAGCTAGAGATTACGGTTTATACAATTTTAAATATGGATTTTTTTTTTTTACACAAAGGCATCGATTCGCTTCAGGAGGCCTTTATTGACTCCCTGGAGCCGTGTGGAGTACTTTTAATGATGGATGGATGGATGCTTTATTGAACTTCTTTTGGACTATTGAAAAGTAACACCCACTTGCTGCCATTATAAAGCTTGGAAGAGCCAGGAAATTTTTAAATATAACTCCGACTGTATTCGTCGTAAAGAAGAAAGTCATATACACTACGGCTGTCAAAATGGCTGAAAAACTACACAAAGGCATCGATTCGCTTCAGGAGGCCTTTATTGACTCCCTGGAGCCGTGTGGAGTACTTTTAATGATGGATGGATGGATGCTTTATTGAACTTCTTTTGGACTATTGAAAAGTAACACCCACTTGCTGCCATTATAAAGCTTGGAAGAGCCAGGAAATTTTTTAAATATAACTCCGACTGTATTCGTCGTAAAGAAGAAAGTCATATACACTACGGCTGTCAAAATGGCTGAAAAACTAAATTCGAATTTTTTACTTAAATATTATCAATATTCAAATTATATTCGAATTTAAAAGGCATAATTTCAGTTAGGGGGGAAAAAAGCTTTTGGCTTCTCTCCTGAGGCCACAAGAGGGTGCATCCAGCAAAATATTATGCACGTTTCTTCAAAGCATAATAAAATAACAGGACTATCTTTGAAAAAAAAGTGCATAATGTTTAAAATAATGTTTATAAACCTTATATAATGAATGTTGCTTAAACAATTAGAAACAAAACAGCATCATGCATGTATGTATAGTTTAATACAAAAGACTGAAAACCAATCACAAAGAGTACTTTCTTCATTTAAAAACGTGAGATGCAGTGGGACGGGGAAAACTGCCATAAAGTCTTGAGAAATGTTTTTTAAAAGTTGAACTTACATTAATTTTACATAGCTTTCTAAACATGCAGCTCTCTTGTGCGAGACGCGAGTGCAACGGTGATAGATGTCCCTCTAGAAAATGCGATAAATATGCGTTCTGTGTGAATGGCTTGGTTTCGGTTTTGATGTAAACAACATCTTCCCCGCATTGATGGTTCTCTTTTTCTGCAATATTTTGATTGAACAATGCAGCAGCGCCGCATTTAGGGGGTTCAACTGGATAGGCTAACAAAAGCATTAAAATGCAATGACACTTAGATCGTCGTCGCAATTTGTGCACCACTGATAAGGCTGCCTGACGCACACCTAAAATTCAAATGCAACGTTTTTGCATTTGAATGTGGATTTTTCGGCATTGTCTTTTCTTCTCTACTGAGACGTATATCCGAGCGAAACGGCATCTGAAATGAGAGGGCGGGACTTGATTTCGGCCTTCGGGAATTGATTGGATTGTTGGAAGCTGGGACGTTGCTAACAAAATGGAGGCAGGTCTGAATGCCAGTTTGCAGTTAGTGGTCAAGGATTTCGCTCCACTGGATTCACAGCTGACACCCAAGCATGAATAAATGTTTTATTTATTAAGGATGACGACGAGGATCAACGGCGCGAGAGAGAGAGAGAGAAAGGGAGAGAGGGAGGGAGGGAGGGAGGGAGAGAGAGAGAGGCAGGGCGA